CTTTTACAGTTCTCAAATCATCAAACATGCCACCACGGAGATCAATACCCGAGCCTATCTAGGACGAGATATGGTGAGAGCTTCGTCTCCGCCATCCTCAGCGGAGGTTTATAGATATTGAAGTGGAAATCCAGTGGGATGATACCCTCGATTGTGATCTAGAAGGTTAAAGGGAAGAACGAGAAAATATGACGATGAAGAGGGAAACACAACTCCAGTTTGTACCAATTTTCTACCACCAAAAATTGCAGACTAGCTTCCAAAGTGGAGAGACATCATCACAAAGAGACCTCCCTTGCTACTGTCCAACAAACCCAATCTGCAAGTCTATCGTAGCCAGAATATGTTGCAAGTGCTACAAATTTAGACATGTTGAAGCAGATTGCACTAGCAGAGCGTCATCGGAAAGTTGGTTAATGACACCACAAACACTGAAAAATAGTTGGAATCAGAATTTTCATCCAATGACATCTACCTCGCAGAAATCCCTTGTTCGTGGATGCATCCAATGCATTTCCTCCATGTGATCCAAAGGAACATGCGTCTTTTGAGAAGTTTGTGGTTCCTGCTCTCCTAGAAAATGGAGAATTTTTGTTGAGACATTAAAATTATGCAGACTAGAAGATGTCATAATTTAAAATTTCAATAGATGATTTTAGTAACAATCAACTGATGACATCACAAACGGCTGCAATTCCAACCTTCACCCTCAGTGTTCCATATGAAAAGATGAAAGACAAGTGTGAAGCTCTTGTTATTGGAACGCAACCGAAGATGTCACTTCTCCATAACCTCAGAAGATAATAAAAATCCTCAACATCGCTGAGGCTCAACTTGTCATAGATGAAAAACATTTGTATATTTACTTGTTCGAAATTTGGCTCGGGAGAACCTGCGTGGTGGTATACCTCCGGATCAGATTATGCAAGGATCAACAGGGAGATATGCTCGCAAGTGAGAAAAGCTCCTCAGATGCTTTGGTAGATGATGCAGTCGCTAGTGGGATTTGGGGGTGGCTGACACTTGCACGGAAGCTTTGACCTATAATGTCCCTTTACCTTCTCTCCCTTTCCCCTCTCTCCCTTTCCCCTATTTCCTTCTTAGCACATTTTTAATACAAGTCTTTCCAAATTAAAATTTCTAAATATTTTTATTCCTCTTTCTTAGATATGCATTCAATTATAATCCCTTTCCTAAACTTAATTTCTATATCAGAATTTCTGAATATTTTTATTCTTCTTTCCTAAATCTAAATTTCCATTCTAATCCTTTTCCTAACCTAAATTTCAAAATCAGAATTTCTAAATTTTTTAATCCTCTTTTCTAAAATCCGAAATCCTGATTTGATTCTTTTTTCTTATTTTATTTATTGTTTAAAATAATGCCCTAGCCTCATTAAATAGATGATGATATGCTTAAATTTAGAGGTCTTGTTTTTGATATATAAAATCAGGTTTTAACCTTGGTATTTTCCCCTTTGAGGGTTGTATTCGACATTGAGGTAGTGCTTCAGCTCTCCCTCGTTCGAGTTGGTGATCGTTTCTAAGGGAGCTAGTGATGCTTCGACTGTATCTCAACCCCGCCAAGACATTTATCTTACCATATTTCTGTTTCTATGCTGTCTTACTTCTTCCACGGCTGCCCCACCTCTTCGGCATTCACTGCAGCCACCAATCTAGCCTCCGACGCAGTTCCTGCACGTTTCCAGCAGTGGATCGACGTCATTACTATCACCAATCTGCTGTCCTACTTCTTCCGCAGTAGCCACACCCCTCCGGCCTTCACCGAAACCGCCATTTCAACCTCCCCTCGCAGGACTCCCTCCTCATCAAGCGGTTGTGTCTTCTTTGTTGAGTCATTAGTTGTGATTCTTTCTTTTTTGTTTTTATTTTTGTTTTGTGTTTTATCTTTCGTTATTTCGAGCCTTAATTCTAATCTCTTTTTACGTCAGTAATAAAATTGTGTCCTCCGTCGTGGTTTGGGTTAACTTTGGTATCATCTAGTATCAGAGCTAGCTCAACCCTATTTTTATCCTATGGTTTCTAGCATCTGCCCCTACTCAATCAACCACACCAAATTTTTTTTCTTTCGTTTATTTTTCTCTTTGTTCTTTGTTCCTTTCCTTTCATAGTTCTCAAATCGTCAAACATGCCACCAAGTATATCAATGCCCGAGTCTATCCAGGATGAGATATGGTAAGAGCTCCGCCATCTTCAGCAGAGGCTTATATATATCGAAGAGGAAATCCAGTAGGAGGATATCCTCGATCATGATCTGAAAGGGCGAAGGGAAGAACGAGAAAATATGACAATGAAGCGGGAAACACAACGCTAGTTCTTACCAACTTACTACCACAAAAAATTGCAGACTAGCTTCCGAAGTGAACGAACAACATCACCAAGCGACCCCCCTTGCTACTATACAGTAAAACCAATCCGCAAGTCTATCACAGCTAGAATATTTTGCAAGTGCCACGAATTTGGACATATTGAAGTAGAATGCACAATTAGGGGAGTGATTTACTTCACCTAGCAGAGCGTCATCAGAAATTTGGGTAAAGACATCCAGATATTGAGCAATAGTTAGAACAAGAATTTTCATCCGATGACATCTCCCCCGCGGAACTCCCTTGTTCGTAGATGCATCCAATTTATTTCTTCCATGTGATCCAAAGGAACATGCGTCTTTTGATGAGATTGTGGTTCTTGCTCTCCTAGAAGGTGGAGAATTTTTTGTTGAGACATAAAAATCATGCAGACTAGAAGATGTCTGAATTTAAAATTACAATAGATGGTCTTAGTAATAACCGATTGATAGAATCACAGGCGGCTACAATTCCAATCCTCACCCTCAGTGTTCCATATGAAGAGATGTAAGACCAGTGTGAAGTTCTTGTTATTGGAGCACAACCAAAGCTGTCATATTTCCAAAACTTTAAGAGTCAGAGGGAAGATCCAAAAGATAATAAAAATCACTCATCAACTGAATCCTTACAAATCTTCAACCTCCTTGAGGCCCAACTTGTCATAGATGAAAATCATATGAGATATTTACTTGTTTGGAATTTGACTTGGGAGAACCTACGTGGTGGTATACCTCCGAATCGATTATGCCAAACCAAAATGGATTGATAGGGAGATATGTTCGCAAGTGGGAAAAGCTCCTCAGATGCTTTGATAGACAATGCAGTCGCCAGTGGGATCCGGGGGTGGCTGACAATGACATGGAAGCTTCGACCTATGACTTCGAAGCTCCACGAACCCCGAGAGACTGATGCGGGGGCTATGGAGGACCGACCGATCCTCAAAGGGAGGGGGGCTACTACTCCTCGCTTTCCCCTCTCTCTCTTTCCCCCCTTTCTTTCTTAGCATCTTCCTAATGTAAGTCTTTCCAAATTAAAATTTCTCATTATTTTTATTTCTCTTTCTTAGATATGCATTCCATTATAATTCCTTTTCCAAACTGAATTTCCAAATCATAATTCCTGAATATTTTTATTCTTCTTTCTTAAATATGAATTTCCATTGTAATCATTTTCCTAAACTAAATTTCAAAATCAGAATTTCTGAATTTTTTACTCATCTTTCCTAAAATTTGTAATCCTGATTTCATTATTCTTTCTTTTTAATTAGTATTGTCTAAATAAAGTCCTAGCCTCATTATAAATAGATGATGTATGCTTAGAGTTAGAGGTCTTGTTTTTTATATATGAAATCAGGTTTTAGCATTGGTATTTTCCTCTTTGAGATAGTGCTTCGGTTGTCCCTCGTCCGAGTTGGTGATCGTCTCCAAGGGTCTGATTGGTGCTCCGACTGTATCTCAACCCCGCCGAGACATTTATCTTACCATTCTTCTGTTTCCATGCTGTCTTTCTTCTTTCACAGCTGCCCCATCTCTCCGGACTTTACTACAACCACCAATCCACCCTCCAACACAGTTCCTGCACCTCTCTAGCTATGATTCGACGCCGTTACTATCGCCAATCTGCTGTCCTATTTCTTCCACAGCAGCCCCACCTCTCCGACCTTCATCACAATCGCCAATCCAGGCTCCCCTCGCCGGACTCCCTCGTCATCAAGCGGTTGTGTCTGCTTTGTTGAGTCATTAGTTTTGATCACTTGTTTTGTTTTTTTGCTTTGTGTGTTGTCTTTCTTTATTTCGCGTCTTCATTGTAACCTTGTTTTAATTCAGTAATAAAATTGTGTCTTGCGTCTTGATTCGGGTTAACTCCAGTATCAGTGATCTTGGTGAAGGGTATGTTAGGATTTGTTAGAGTGGTGTTAAGATAATTTAGAGCTTGAGAGCGGTCAACTAAGTGTGAAGGATTGTGTATTAGGGTTGGATATTTTGAGGTTGGTGGGGAGAGTTGAGAGATGTAATGGATTGAAGGAGAAGGATTGGTGAAATTAGGGTTGGATACCAAATCAAGGAGGAGTAGGTATGAGCTCTGGAATGGGAGGCCTAGGATGAGATGTTGGACATTTGGAGGTTGGTGGGGAGAGTTGAGAGGTGTAATGGATTGAAGGAGAAGGATTGGCGAAATTAGGGTTGGAGACCAAATCAAGAAGAATACCTCTAGATTCTGAGGAATTGAATAAAGGTGAAAAATGAATATTGATTTGAAAGATGGAGATTACAACAATTAAATAAAAAATACGGGAGACGAACCTCACCAAAGGAAGAAGGATTGATTGAGATGTCACCAAGCTTCTATGCTCGAAACCAAGCCCCCAAGCAAGGTTCATTAGAAGAACAGTTGCTCATTTGTTTAACTTAGCAGAAATCTATATTGCAACAAGTTGTACGTCATTTAAGCAATGACACATTGGAAAAAACAAAATTTAAAGACGAGGAGGGAGGTTGTCATTTTTAACTGTGTTTAGGTGGTGGTGCCCTTGTTTGGTGGAAGCAGTTCCTTGAAAAGGTGGAGGTGGTTGTGTTGGTTGACCCCATTTTTTAGCATGAGAATTGTTCTTCTTGGATGTCCCTTAGTTAGATAATGGAAGCATGTATTTGCTTTTTCATTTGGACCCATCATTGCCTTGCTATTGTTCATCAATCCTGACAATTCCTTGCTTGGTTGAACTTGCGCGGCTCATGTATGTGCACACTTCAAGACTTCATATCTATCTACCATTATGCTAATAATTTCTCCTAATATATTGTTAAAGTTCACATTACAACCATGAAATTCATGAAATGTAACCTTATCCATACAATACAATGGACATCACAATGACCACCATGTACAATCTACAGAAAATTGACAAAATGTACTTGAAGTTGTTGTTGAAATACTTTTCGATATTTTGCATCAAAATTATTTTTGAATCACACCAGCTTCTTGTTCTCTCCTCTGGTCTCCCCATGGGCCCTCTTTTAGCACCAGTTTCTCTTTTCATTCTCCTTTTGTTGTGTTGGCCTATATTAGTTTTGCTTTACTTGGATGAGCGCATAGGTATGACCCTTCTGATTTTAACTTTATCACTTTTTATAACATTGATTTTTAATTCTATTGTTTGGTTGGCAATTTAAAAAAAGAGAGAAAATAGTGATTCTTCTTTCCTTTGGCATTGCTTGGCCTTCTCCCTTCTGATATTTGTTATCGCTTATGTACCGAATGAAGAGATGATGGAAAATTATTGCCAAAGAAATTAACCTACTTGTATTAGAAGTCGGTTAATTTTTTTTGGGCAAATTCCTTACATGTATATGAGAACTGGGCCTTCTTTCTTTTACTATTTGCATTGATCTTTCTTCCATTTTTGCTGCAGATCATGCTTGGTTGAACTATATAAAAGGGGGTACCTAATGCATGAAGTTATGGTGCATTCAGTCTTTTGTACTTTTTTCTTAAGCTAAAGCTTTCGTTACGCTCTACATAGAGTCCCATTTTGGAATTGATTGGGATGAGAAAGAACTACATATTGTGCTATTTTTAATACATGGAATGATAACCCCTTCTAAGTCAATTCAATGTTTTGGACTTCTTAGAAAAGATCCAGGTTTCTCTACAGGTTTGTTTGGGGCGGCTGCAATTATTTGTAAAGATGGTCGTAAATCATGGTGGGAAAAGTAACTTATTAGAAAGTTATGATAAGAATTATAGATTTTTTTTCCAATAAGTTCAACTACAATATTTTTATAGCCACTATATTTTAACATATTCGGTTGCAAAAAATAACTTTTCATCATATAAATTTCTAGAAAATGGCAAGAAATTAATTCCCCAAACAAAGTTGTAGTAGCAATGTGGAACACAATGCAGATAGAAAGCTGTCCTAAATGATCCTAAATGTGAAAATTATGGCTTGACAAAAGTCAATGCAAAGGTTCAATCCACAATTTCTGCAGCATCAACTAATTTATTTCAATAGCTTTTATAGGGCATAAAATTTCTGAAGGAATAATTATATAGATGGATTTATTACTAAAAGGACTTTCACTTTATTTTAAATTATTAAGAATCTTATGTATAGTAAGAAGACTTAAACTGAGAATTGGGAATTTTGTTTAATGGATATGCCATTTCCTTTGTGATTATAAACTGCTAATATTCATACAGAAAGATGGAATAAGGTTCTCTTGTTTTGCTTTTCTTTTTTGGTTGCAGTAATTAAATGTTTGGCATTCTTTATCTTAATTGAAGGATAGAATAAACATTCATAATTTCTCTTATTTTGTTTAGCGAGGTTTTACGTGAACCTTGATTTTGCGGCAGAATTAAATTGTTAGTTGAAAGTATGATGGAGATAAGAATGGAACTTTTAATTGTTAGCCTTTACATGGAACTAAGTCCCTTAAAGGGTATGCTTGGTTCATTTTGTGCTTCAAAAAATGTGTTTTAATTCAGAATTGATAACCACTGCGAGATTGTTCTTATTTTGTAAAGTTAACTAAGGGGCCATTTGGTTTGTTGAAAAAGGAATAGAGTATACGAAAGATAATGTAAAAGAAATATAATGGAGTTCAATTGTTTATATGTTTGTAAGATAAAATGCTAGAAATTATTTTCTTCTTTTTGGTTTGTTGTAAAATGAATCTGATGTGATGTTCGATGATGGTGGTGTTGGTGGCACAGTGGCTATGGTATGGGAATGAATTCATTGCCTATTTGAAGTCAATCTACTAAATTTGGAATACAAAAATTGAGCTAAAGCGTGAATCAAAATCCATCTATGAAATAGCTTGCATTTGATACGTTGCTTGCCAAACAACTAAATTTTTAAAATGCATGCTTTTGGTTTAATTTACACCAATAATGAAGCAAGCCAAAGAATCTTTACAGTAAAAGCTAAAATGCATTACTCTTCTAATCTATCTGAAAACATACAATACTAGAAATGAATTTGAATTAACCATCTAAACTCCAAAAAATATCATTTCCATAAAGCTAGCTTATTTTGGATCTTTAGTGTTTGATGGTGGTTGGCTTATTTTTCTTCTATTCAAATCAAAATATTACCTCATTGTGTGCCAATTTGAAGAGTTAAAGGATGGAAAGAAAAACAGAACTTGGGGAATGGAGGCTGAAGTGATGATATTAGGCATCTTTTTGGTTAAACACAATAATGGAATGGTTTCTCTGTTTTTAGTATTTTAGTGGATGTCAAATCGAACTTTATATGCTTAGTTAGTATAATATTAGTCATAATGCTTATGCATGTTATTTATTAATTTTCTCACCTTATTCCTTGACGAACCAAACCCTACACCTGACCATCCTTCACCCACCATCCAACCAAATTTTTTTGTTGATTTGTATGCATAAACAGACTAATTCACTCATAATTATGCTCTCTTTATATCAATGTTTTTAAAGCGCAAAATATCATGCGATGCATAAAGATTTCTTTTTTACTTTCAATGTACAAAGTGCAAAGCGAAATAGCATGTTTTTTAACTAAACAGCTCATTCTTGTATAAAATAATAAATATAATGATATATTCATTACCGGTTATAAAAAATGGAGTATAATAGATGGCTTAAATTTTGATATAACGTAGAAAAGAAATGTGATGTATATAACCTAACTTCAAAACAAATTTTGAAGATGAAACTGAAAATTAAATTTTGTAATAATTTCTCTTATGCATAGGTATTAAAAACGATTACGAGTTTAAAACTATTGTAATAATTTGTTATAAAAATTTGAAAACTTCAAGGTTTCATGAAAATATGTTTAATTTAAAGGAAAATTTTGACTTCAAATACATAGTCTCAAGTTTATAAAGCAATCTAAATTAAACAATTTAATCATAAACTTCTTTTTCATTCACATGTTCTTTTATCCTTAAGTGAAATTTCCTCACATTTAAAATTTTATTCTTCTTTGTCTTCCTCTTGGGAGCCAATCTTATCTTCACTTTTTGGTTCAATAGAGGTGGATCTTCTCTTTTTGGTTCAATAGAAGTGGATGCTGGTCGAGATGAACTATCTTTCATTGTGAATGAACCCAATCTTCTTTTTGACCTACTAAATCTTATAAACCTTCTTTGATCCATTTATCTTGATGCCTCTCCAAATGTAGTGAGATCTTCATTAAAAAATCATTCCTCATCAGCTTCCTTCATTTTCCCAATCATCCACTCACAGCTTTTATCAATAGAATTTAAATTAGTTGGATGGATATTATCATTTAAATTGAATCTTTTTTTCAAAGCCTAGTTGTCTTTGTTGATTAATAAATCATTTAAGTAGTTTTGGTTCAATCATTTTTCTTATTTTTATATGAATCTGTAAAACAAATCATATGATATCCATAAAACATATGAATTATTTAGTTATTCAAAATTAATAATATACTAACCTGCTTGAAGACACTATAGTTTATCTTACACAACAAAATTGTAAGTCAATCCTAAAATTTCAATAGCCAGTTTTTGTAAAGTTGGGGTTGATGTACCATAGATTGCACATAACTTAGATGTGCTAAAAATTTAAGCTTAATGAATAAAAAATTTTAAAATTTATAAAAGCATCAATTGAGCTTACACGGAGATTTCTTACCTCAATTTCAGATGGCAAATTCAGTTGTAAATAGACCACCGATATGGCTATAAATATAGACTTCTTGAATTATGACAATTCTTTTATTTAGGTCTCTCACTAATTGGCCAATAGCTATATGTAAACTATTCATCAATTGTCCATCTTATTGTCTCGTAGACTTGCAAATTAATTGTTGGTTGAGATAGTAGCTAGCTGGTGCAATAGCTATTGGAGTTGACAATTGCATCTGTTGTTATTAATACAAAAGACATCCACATATTTATTTTCATTCTCTTCAAATGCTCCATTAATTTCATTCCTCACTTTGTTCATCACATCATAAATAGAACCTAATGGGCTCGAGTCCTCAAAGCGTGGCTTGCACCATTCCAAAATGATATTTTGAGAGTGATCTCCTTTACTTTCTTTCTATTTTACTTGACACTGAATTGGATTTGCTTCACTATTTAGAGACAAATGTGAGCCAAAAATTTTTTTTCTTATGTATGTTTGCAACGTTGAATGAATAATGTTTTGTCTAATTATTCTGCCCCACTTTTTTATCTTCATCACATTAAAAGAAAGTATATGATTATATATGTAGCCAGTAAACGCCAAGAAGTTTTTATAGCATTTTTCACTGACTAGTATTCCCAATGGCCTCCAACATCAGATCGATGTAGTAAGCTACAATTGTTGTCAAATACATGTTTTTTCTTTTTTTCCATAAGAATTTGACTCAAAAATGCTTAAGATGTGAATCAGCAACCATTAAGGGTCTGTTTGGGAGCGCTTCTAATTCGTGGCGGGGCTTTGTGCCGTGATTTTCGCCCATTTGGGGCATTGTCCAGGCCGTGGTGTCGGGCGTTTTTGACCTTTGAGGGTTGCGTTTTAACGCGTTACCCCTCCCGTCATTGTATATGATCGCTTTTTCCCTTTGCAATCTATTCTGACGAACCCGCCTCGTTCTCAATTGCGTCGGTCCCTTCCGCCTCTATGGCGATCCCGTCGTCGCTGCGTGCGTTGAGGTTGGTACTAATTTCCTCGATATCTTTGGCGAGCCTAAGTTCATGGAGCGGATGGAGTTGCAGTATCACGAGAAGACGA